TGTGCTGGTTGGGCGACATAACAGGTTACCGCTACTGTTTATTCCAAAAACATTGTGCGTCTTTCGGAATTAAATTCTAAAAATATCACGTAAATTTCGTTACAATTTCTCAGAAACGATCATTGCGGGAAAATTGTTGGCCGGGACTAAGATTTTTGAACGATCGATGCGATAAAACGATAGTTCGAGGAACGATAGAAGCGGGAAAATGTAACATTATTTTATATGGGATGTATTCGGGACCGAACAAAACGGACGATGCATCCGGGAAAACGATAGTTCCGGGAATGATGGATAGAGGTTTCACTGTATATGAAATTTAATGTAGATCATTACACCCTCATTTAGGACACTTAAAAATGCCAAATATTGGAAAAATCTGCTGACTTGTTCAAGTGACAGACAGATGCACAAACAGGCAAAATTCCAAAAATGATGTTCTTAGACTTATGAACATCTGAATGTTAATGTCATTATGTTCTACAAAATTATATAAACATGGTAAATATTTAACAATGTCCATATAAATATTTGCTTATACCTTTAAATATCCTATTTCACTCAATACAAAGTGTACCTTTCTTATAACATATGAAGGTTCCAGCTTCCCTATTGTCTTGATATACTGTTCTATGGCTGCATTATGGTCACCTTTTGTATAGAGATGGTCACCATATTGCCGAAAGATATCAACCAGTCCCTCAGAATCATACTGCTGACTCTTTGCAATCCTAAAACACAATGAAAAATTCATTATTACATGAAGAATAGAAAAACAAACTCATCAAGTATCTCTTGAGATCAAAGAATTTTTCTCCAGTTCCTGAAAACAGATCATCATTGTTATTTGCATTCAACATAAAATATACAATTAAAATCCATAACTTTACGTTTTTTATGTTCTGTATATTTAACAAGATGGATTCATATTTTATAACTACTCTTTAATCATATGCCATCAGTTATATACATTTTGTACAATCAAACAGAATGACAAACTGGGAAGAACAATAAAGTGTATATGGTCTATTTTTAGGTGCTATCACAGAATTTACCTTGAGGGAATGAAAAAAATCATGGAGAGTCTCAGACAGGACAAGACAGCTGGTTCTGGAACTGATATTCAAAGTCAAGAACTCCTGATCATCCAGCAGGAGGACCAACTACTACACTGTGATATTCAGTTCTCTCATTTAAATAAAAGAAAATAAGATGAAGGGTTCAGAAGAAAAGAGATGCAAAAGGTACGAACTAAGTGTACTTAGTTTGTGTGATGCATATGTACGGAATTCTACAACAGAAATTTCGTTCCAATCTTTGGATAATAGGGAATTCTTTCATGAGGTGTGAACTCTGAATCTAACTTTTTATCTATGAAATATGTCACTTTGAAACAGGGCATGCCTTGGTCACAACTGGTTCAATTCTGCCTTGTGGATGCTCAGTGACAGATATACATACACCCACATGACAAATTATGCACTGAGGAAGAACTGTCCCAGCCATTCACCTTGCTGTGGCAGAATGGCAGTAGACCAACATTACTGTTACTGCATTACCTTACCTTATGGATACATCATAAAGGTTCTTCTTAAACAGTAGTGCCAACTTTGACTGCAAATCCTTCTCTTGTAGGTGGTAGAGCTTCTTGTCTCCTCCTAGCACATAGAAGGACCCCCACTCTGTGAGCACAGCCTGCACCTCACGCATTGGAGCAGAGAAGACAATGAACTTGTTCTGAATGTCCAGAACTGTCACCATGTGCTTCTCCAGAGCTCCTTCACTATTGTGACAACAGATGTATAAATGCTCATGCATCAGAACTCTTAAACTTATAAATCCAGTGAAAACTCAGTGATAACTCAAAAAGGGTTCTAACAGTGGTGCATTATATTCAATTTGGCTGGACTTGATCCACTATTTAATAGTCTAAAACAAGACCAAGTTGAAGATGGCTGTGGATGCATCATGAAGTCTGATAGAAGTCCATCATCGCCCTGATGATGGAGTCAGCAAGGACCTCTGAAACGTTAGTAAACTTCTACCAGATTACATGGCTCAACATCCCAGAAGACAGCCATCTTCAAACTCACCGCTGTGAAAACCTCGAATCCTCCAAGACCAAACTGACAGGCTCTGCTGCTGTCTTGGAGTGAAATTACATATTATATTGTGTCTGATAAAAGGGACTTATGTCAATCCCTGAGATCAAGATGGAAATGGGTTAGGAAATATGTCACATAGAAGGAATGAAGGAAGTGGGAAAGAAACTGAGGAAAAGCAGTTGTGGAACCAAAGAGATAGATGCAGAGGCTTAGTTGTCAGATGATCCATATAAAGGAGACACATCTTAGGAAGAAGATAAATTGTAAGACATTTCTGACAACTGGAAACAACTACTGCTTCTGTTGCACATTATATAACTATTGAAACCCAAAACTAATAAGACAAACACCTTCTTTCTACAAACTCAATCCTAGGTATTACTAGAAACTAAAACAGAACTAGTTTGAGTGGATTCCCAAATACTGTAATTCCTAAAGCAAGCAGAGATACACAATGTCCATGCTTTGCATAGTATTAAGAATGAAAGAGACGATATTATTAAGAGGTTCAACTATAATTATACAAATACTATGTTGAGCATTTTCCAATGACAAATTTCTTACTTCTTCTTTTTATTTATTCCTAGTAACAGTGGTTAGGATCAAACCTGGGACCTAATGAATACTAGGCTAGGACACAAACCACTAGGACCACTTCGGTGGCTCACAAATGTTTGCCATTATAACTCTACGTTCATTATACATTCAGTTACTTTGTATCCTGTAGTAGAGGGAGCTATATGGGGCTGACATCTAGGTCTGGTTAACTATGACCAATAAAGTGTTCCAATAATGAATCAATCATTGTCACTAACCTTTAGAGAATCAACTATAATGCATGACTATATCAGTCATGTAGGGATCTGATTCTGTCTAGGTAATACCTCTACCATCCAATGGCACTTACTTTGCTGATGAGACCGAGGCAGTAGTAGTGGTACGACTGACAGTCTTGGTGTCTTTGGCAATAATAACAAGATAGCTTCGGAACCACTGTAGCATTATTTTCTCTCCCTCCACAGCATAGCATGGTCCACGTCCATCTGGTGTATAACAGTACACTGCCTATAACAATGATACAAATGACCATCAATCAATAATATTTCAAATGAAACAGATGAGAGAAAATACACAAAATTTAATATGAAAGGGACTAACACAACATCAAGTATTTCTTAACTTGACTTGAGGGTCATGGCCACATTTTTCATTAGTCATAGAGGTTTCACTTTTTTAAATTTGAATCAGTAAACATTTTTAAAATCAGGTATTGTATTACAATGTTGCAAATTAATAATCACAGGAAGAAAACTTAAATAACAGTGTGAGCTGCAACTGTAGCTGGACAGCAGGAGAGCACAGATACTACGAGAAGGGTTAGGTCTCTTAGCAGCAGTAAGATACTAGAACAGAACTTACAAAGAGTTGTCTAAACTACTAAAGAAACATTTACAGTATGTTACAGACAATTTAAGAATGTTTAGACTGTTTCATTGACTCTTAACTCATATTAGATGATGATTCAGGAAGCAATTATTCAAACTCTACAATTAACTTAGACACCACAAAATACTTACATCATTTCTCCCTATCATGAAGTGGCTGTCCTGCACTGATTCAGCCAGCACTGAGCAGCGCCTCATGCAGCCCATTCCATCCAAGTGGATCTGTATGTATAAATAATTCTTGCAATTTGCAGACAACTATCAGAAAGCGTGTCATATCAGTGTTTGACAAAAACTGTGATCAATATTTGTATTCAAAATGGAGATAAGTATCTTGAAGTGTTCAAACAGACATTCTTTGGAGACAGCTGTCTTTTGGGTTGTAGTGTCATGTAATATGGCAGAGGTTAACAACATTTCCGAGGTACTTCCTGCCTCCAACATCACCCTGCTCTGCAGTACTTTTGGTGTGGTTCTTATTTCTGCTACTGCATGCTATATATGATCCCACAGATTTTGCCATGTTTTCACCTTTGTACAAAAAACTTTAGTTCTGGGTGTGCCCCACGTAGAATAATCCAAAGGTCTGGTAAATGAGGTGGCCATGGCCTAGCAAACAATTCTGAAATGTTTATGTTATGTAACAGACTACAGCAATATGGAGGCATTCCACTGTGCAGAAATCACATTTTTCTCTTGGTTGCAAGTGGTGCATTGTCCAAGACAGTGAATAGCACATTAACCAAAAACTATAAAGAACCCAATTCCTATAAGCCCTGATGGTAGCATAAGACCATGTCAGAAGTGGTATACAATGTACAACAGTCACATTGTGCTGAAGCTTGCACTGAAAACAATAACCATTTTCAACAATTAAAGTATTTGTTTGTCACCATTATACATTAAATAATTAAGTTTTATATGCTTAGCTTGCTTTTACTTTACAACTCATTTCTAGCTATAAAACATTTCATGCCTCAATTAATTAAGCCCTTAAGGCCCCATTTGCATCACCAACTTTTTGTTCAGTTTTCAGCATATAAGACACAATATACTTTTGGCACGCGATCACCAGACATACTGATGTGCCATTATGATTCCTCTCTACATGTTAAGTCCATTTTATTATGTACCTTTTGTTCTTTATCCTTCACAGTGACATTATATAAATGCACATTATTCATTGTAGCTACAAACAAATAAGTCAGTTTTGCTGTTGTTTGGAATGCCAGTCCTGTGATAGGGGAGTTTCCATCTTTCAATACTTTCTGCTTATTGGTGCGTTCTCTTGTAATATCGCCTGAAAATAAACACATATCTTACACATAACACTTAACCTTTCATTGTGCCATTATTCTTTAACTACTTTTCTAAATGAATTACATTTTAAAGTAAAGATCAAAACTCACTATAAAGATTGAGTTATTAAGTGAGAAACACATACAAAAAATCACTAAATAACCACTTGTTCAATTTTTCTTTCGTTACTATTTGTAAGGTTCCATAGTTTAGCATTAAGTGTTAGAATTTGTTTAAAATATGTTTTATAAATTGTTTTTTGCATATTCAGAATGCAACACAGTTTTTCTTTTATATTATATAATGGAATCATTGAAGTAAATATGATTGTTACCAAAATTTTGCTTTGCAATACTTACTTGCCAGGACAAATTTTAAAATTCTTTACACCAACAAGACAATATTGCTTCAGTTTCTGCTAAGGATGTTCATACTTTTCCTTTCACCATCATGTCCAGAATGGTTCTGGTGCCCAGCAAGACTCCTATCTAACAGGTACTGAACCTCTTTCTTTGTGGGTAAAATTGGTTAGAGTATGAACATAACCACCTACCTCTTTTTTTCAAGATTAAGGATGTGTAGTGCTTTATTTATAATTTCTGTCAGGTTCAATGGCATCATTATATAGTAAAACAATAACTGCATCTTATTCAATATTAGTTTCTTCTTTACTCTTAGTCTACCCAAGTGCTGGGTCAGGGGTTAAGTCCCAACTAAGAACCAAGATCATGATACTACTGTGGCTGTGCTAGCCTATCACACAGTGGACTAGAGGACAATAAGTGAAATAATTATTAGCATGAATCAAATTACTCTGAGAGAAACTTTCCCCTTGTTACTCTGTCCACCACAAAATCCTGCATTCATTATCCTGGTATTGAACTCTGGTCTCTACACTGAGAAACTTAGTGATAACTGCCTAAGCTGTGGCATAAGCTTTTTCACAATTAATCCCACAAAATAGTTCATTCGCACAGAAACCTTCTTCAGCGACATACATAGCTTCTACTATTAAAGCTATTAGGTATACCTCACCTCTATACAGCAAAATGGAGCCATCACCAAAACCCACAGCCATGAGGTTGACATTGTCGTGAACAGACAGAGCTGTAGCAGGAGTTGGCTTGTTGTTTGGAATGGCACGAGAGATACGAACGCACATCGGATGACTGTGCTTGTCCAATTTGTCCAAGTTCCATACCTTGACAACAGGATTTAATCCAGGTTCATCTTCCTACGGAGATTTTGGATAAAAAATGAAACAAATATACAAGAGCATAGTAAAATCTAAAAACATTTTACACACACAGAGGTTTTGTCACAAAGTTAAAATATTGTTATTGGTACTATGGCTTGGAAAACACCAGTCAATGCACACAGTTAAGAAGATAAATACACAAATACAAAAAATGGCATCAAATTGGATTCATTTCCAATATGAATTAATGTGTTAAACACAACTGATGACGGAGGCAGTATGACGTCTGAAACGTTGGTTAGCATCGACCAGACTACACAGCACAACAACCCAGAAGACAAAAATCTTCATACTCACCGCTGTGAAAACCTCAAATCTTACAAACACAAACTTGTTTTAGTGGTACAAGAACCATGAACTGCATATTCCTCTTTGAAAAAAGAAATGTTGCATGTATGTGTAAATCATGGCAAGTAGATGGATGAAAGATGCAAATAAACACTTACCCCAATAGTAACAAGTAGAGCAATGTGGCATAATTGTTCAGCTAACATCACATTCAGTTCATAAGCCCGAAATGTTGTGACTTTAAACAAACGACTGACAAGGTGTATGTTTCCTTCTGTATCTCCAAAAACCAGGTGACCATGCCCACTTGTAGCAACACTAACCTTAGCATCCTGAAAAGTTTGTTATGAGAAAATTACAACAGCTGAAAAAGCACACACACACAAATTAATACTATTTCAAAAAATCTTTGATTTAGTGACTTCAAACTTATAATTCTTTTACTTACATTACATGTTAACACAGTCACACTATAACAGATATCTATAACTGTATAAGCAACTTTAAGCTTTGGTCAAATTTTCATACCTCCAACAAATCCAGATTCCATGACAGTTTAGGTTAAATCAAATTGGGTTAGTTAAATATAACTTGAGTTACGTTTTGATGTAACAAGGATGAATAAAAGAATGATTTCTTGATACGTTTCACAGTAGATTACATAATGGAGGTGACTTCTAAAGAGCCTTAAGTATCTGTATTTAAAAGAATTTCCAACTTACTTTAAGTGTTTCAGAAATTTTCCCAGAGTCCACGTCCTTGTTCAGCTCAAAGAAATTGAAGCGCCTCCACTAAACAGAGATAGAAAATTATGCTTAAACATGGTTTTTTGGAGAAGTTACTCACTCACTCTGATAGTGGAACTTTACTTCCGCTACATAACCAAAGTATAAAAAAATGTTATTTCCTTACCCAGGTCAGCTAAGCAACACTAGACTTCATGCTGTCATTTTTAATGAAAAATATAAAAGAAGTAAATTTAAATATTTAAAGAACAACATACTTACCTCCAGAAACGCCATATTATCTTACGGGACTGCCTTGCAAATTTTAGGTTAGCATTAGCGTGGATATTGTGCACTGAATCGATCTCACGACGAAGTGTGGGTGGGATTAGTGGTTCTGACGATTAAAGTATATATATATCAATGTATAAACAAAATGCATTCCATCACCATTCATCACAGCACGTAAAATTTCAAAAATTGACAATCAGCTGCAGTACCCCTACCAAATACCTTCATTCCAAACTTACAAGATAGCCAACAGTCGTACGACGAAGAAATATACCTCGTGGTTTATGGTCTTGTGGGTTGTTTCACTATCTTATATTACTGTCTGAAGTTCTGTTTATAATGCTTGAATAGAAATTAAAAAATGTTTCAGAGGTGCTTGCTTCCTTATCCTCAGGGCATTGATGGTTGCAGTAAGCACCTCTGACACAAATCAATTTCTATGAGACTACAAGGTAGATGTTAGATTTAACATTCTCACAATGACAAATATGATGACATTAATCTCGGATATTGCACTGTGCAGTGTTGTAGAAGTCGACTGATAAAACTTAACATCCCAGATGTTTGTAATCTTCAATTGAAATTAGATTTTTGAAACATGACATTAAAAAGTTTCAGTCACATCCCATACACAAAGTATGCAGAGGATAGAAAATATAATTTCTACAGGTGGGAGAATATTTGACACAAACAAAAAGGCAACCTCTATGCTGTAGATTCAATGTTGGAAGTGTATAACACTGACATTAGATCTTACACTTTTGTGAGTTTTTTTGTAGAAGGAATCACTTGATCCTGGGTAGACTAAATCATTAGAGAAAAAATATTTTTAAAGCTTTTATTTATTCCACTTACATAGCTTTCCAGAGGAACATAAATAATTTATAAAATAATATTAATTTATATGACTTTTGAAATTTACAATAAAACAACAATAATACTAATAAAAAAACAAATAAATGACCAGCATTTTCAGGAACAAAATAAAATTAGTGCTAAATACACAACAAAACTGCAGTACTCATCCACTGACTGTATCAACCAGCATCCAATTAGAAAGTATGGCACATGTATGAGAAAAAGAATGCCAACCAAAGTTAAATTAAGACTTCTTGATAAAATTTATAAGAAAACCAGTTAAATATTTCAGACCAAAAGATATAGTTGGTAAATGAGGTGTGTAAATCTGTTTCTGTGGAGTAGGAGAAGAAGTCCATCCCTGTATTATTACTGTGTACCACAGCACTTGCAGATGATGCACTCAATTAACAAGAGACAGTATAATAGTTACTTTCTATAATTTAAATTATAGCCTTAACAACCAACTTATTTCCTGGCACCAAAACATGTACAAAAAAATTTTAAGATGAAGTGAAAACAGAAACTATACTATTTATATAATGCAGACATTTAAAATAACATAAAACATAATACTGTACAATAATATTCTTTTAACAATTTAAGTTTTATTAAATGAATGATCAGAAAGTGAAAATAGTATTCCAGACCACGCCAATATCGATATGTTTTCAAAACAAGTTTGACTTGGATCGTATTCATATAGCAATAATGTCTCGTACCTCATACTTACCAAGAGTGTATGGTATTATTTATGTGAAGAATGTTAAAATCAACTGACAGTGAGCAAGTACAAGGCCCTACATGTATCATTAGACTTTCTCTTTTGGTCAGAAAGTTATATATTAAGCACAAACACGGAAAAAACTGAACTGAATAGAACTGATACCAAGCTACCAAAGCAAGAAGATACTTTCCTCACATCGCAAGGTTATGCTTAACATTAACAAATCACGCAATGGTGTGCATAGGTGGTCTAAAGTACGGTAACCAACTTTCTGAGCACCCAGTTTAAACATTTCTCTATACTTCTTTTGCAAACAATTGCACCACCCATTGATACTAATAAGGTTTACATATATATTATAATATGTAGTTTTATTTACAGTACAACAATGCCAAAGGCAATAAACTAGAATGTATGCAAAGTATATCAGGTCTTCCCCCTTCCAGTATATATTTATATCCAGTATGTGATTCCAGTCAGTGTTAAAATAACACTTGTTATTACATATAATAAATGTGAGAACATTTTTCCTGCAAGTTCCTCTCAGCATTTAGTGAATTCTGAGCACAAAGCACAATAACGTTATATTCAGAATTGTGGGAAAAGCAGCTGCACAATTACATTAATTACTAGAGCAGGACAATATACAGTGACACAAGTAATGTACCAATACCCACTTCCACTGGCCACAGAGATTTCTTTGGAAAATAATACATCCCACAATTCATAATAGCCAAACCATATTTAACACATCTTGTTGAAAAGTTATATATGTAATAAAAAATTCAGTAATTTAAAATAAAATTAGCATTTGACTACTGAATATATCTCCTTAAACTTCCATCTAAATAAAATCTCTCCTCCCCCAAAAAAAAGGTAATCTGCAAGGCATGGGCATTTTCTTCCTTTTAGCAAACTGTATATTTACATATATTCAGTCATTCAACACCAAATGACTACAATTTCTTGATCTGTTCAACTATTACTGTATTTTGCTCACAACCATTTGATAATTAGATCATTCAAATTTAAAGCTCACATTGTATTACAGAACTATATCTAAAGTTGTCTTAAGTGTCTCATGATTTGTAACTTTCTTAAAAACAATTTTCCAGCTCTTAGAGCAGATCTCCTAAGTACCAAATGTATAATAGTATTACAGTCCAGTGGAAGCAGGCCAACACAGCCCTATCTATAAATAATACAAGCACAATGTTTCAACCCAACATGCTTTATAAAATAATGATTTTTAAAAACAGTCAAATTTGGTATTTGTTCAACACGGAATGGAACACAGGCAAGAAAAGAGAGACTTTGATGAGCAGGTAGTTGAATGGGCCATGCCAGGGGGGTTGACTAGTGGGGGCCCACCCGAGGGAAGAGAGTAATGTACCTTCCTGCAACCACATTCAGATGATTACATACCACCATATGGTAATGCAAGATGAACATTGAAAGAGCACCACATGCCAATGACCTACATGTAATCAATCTGTTACTATGTAGCTATTTCATATCTTCATGTCTGCACTGACATCTGCTTTCTGACTGTTTTTAAAATGCAAGAATACAAACACAGTAAAATTATTCTGTAGCATACATAACAAAGAAGACATGGTTCTGTGCTATTCAATTTTAACATATATTGCCATATGTTGGTACAGAATGGCTCCCCATCTTTCAGAGCCTCTGGTCCATAATCATTTTTAAAAGATGGTTCTTATAATACAAAGAGAGAAACCATTTGACTAGACCACTTAGCCCATGCTGCTGTATGTGCTGGCTCTCTCATTTCGCCATTTCCAATAATGGCTGTGGGGCAGGGAGACTAGGGGGAATAATAGGGCGCCTTCGAGCCAGCTTGGATCTAAAGAACAAAAATAACAAATTTCACACAATTGCAGTTAAGCAATCATCAATACCACTTTCATAATTGGAAAGTCAGGAGCTGTTCTCTTATCACCTAGCAGTGAAAATGCACATACAGATAGACAAAGAGAAGAAAGTTAACAAAGCTCCTTTTTCATGTCATTGTGAATTAAATCAACAAAAGTGGAAAAGTGCATATTTAAATCAACTTGTCTGATAGCATCAGGATAAGGGAGAATTTAAATAGCATGGCAAAGGGTTCAGTAAGGAAGTCATCCTAAAAGCAACTTAATAACTTAATATTGAATGCCATGACTTACAGGAGGAATAAAAAAAAATATTAGGGCAAGGAATGCAAAATAAAGTAATAAGCAGTTTTATTGCATGTCCTCTATTGCTGTTATGCACGTACATTAAGCTCAGAATAGTTGACAGTGGATTTACCTGATCTGACCTGCTAACAAGGGGTTGATAGCATACAGCCATTCATGCACCTCCTTGTCTCCCAGTGTCTGAAGTAAAAAGCCTCTATGCTTTGTAACAACACTGAAAAATGATCAAGTCAATTCTATATATCATGAAAATTAAAATATATCATATTCACAATTCAACACACTCTTATATAGTTAGTACTTTCAACTGCTAAGAGAAGGCATTCATAGCTTTGTCAGATAAGTAAATATATGGAGAATAGTTCCTGGTGGGAAGCAAGTCATTCAGCTAGTTAAGAAATGAACCATGTTTTATGAAACTTGGATGTGGATAACTGTTGTTGTTGTTTCTTGGCTCTACAACCCAGTTTTGGGTTTTCACTGCCTCGTTTTTGGAAATTTCCTAGTCTTTGAAGTGTGCATTTGTGAGCAGTGAGTGACCAGCCCACTGACTCTGCGCAATTTCTACTCAATCTTGATTTGACTGCTGGAGCCATCCAGTAGTGAATCAGGAGAGACTTGGGTGAGAAATGGCTGCTGAATTTTGCTTATGAAACATCTCGTATCATGTTTGTAAGGTTCTTTTACATGTCATAAATCTATGACATGGGACTGCCGGCTTTACTTCCCCTCCGAAGGAAGTTGTGCTACAGATTTATATCACCCTTAAAAATCCATCAACCTCAGCTGGATTTCAACTCGTAAACCTTGGGTCCAGTGGCAAGCACGCTAACCACTAGGGATGTGGATAACTATGTTCCCTATACTTTTCAACCAGTTATGTGTTAGATAAATCTAGTTCATAAAATGACACCCTATTTCTTTATGATCCATATAAATATTATCCTCCCATCTGTGCCTGGACCTATTTCGTGATTTCTTCCTTTCAGGTGCTTTGTCCAAAATTTTGTATGCATTTCTTATCTCTCCTATGCCCTGATTTACTGATCCTAATAATAGTTAATAAAAAGTAAAAATTATGAAATGCCTCATTATGTAATTTCCCCAAAACTACTATTACTTACCCTCTTTTAGATCCACATATTCTCTTTAGAAACTATTCTCAAACATCCTCAACCTTGACATTTTCCACTGATGTCACCTTTTGCATATCAGAATAAAATGCATGAAATATAAAGAAATTTATTTTCTTCTTTCAATGATGGTGTGTAATTACAGGATGGTGTGTATTATATGATAAAAACAGTAAAATTATCCCTGGTGCTTAGCAATGCACCACACTAGGCAAATGTATAGGGAAGTGGATATATAGTTCCATGCATTCTTAACTTTGGCCCCAGATGGAGGTCTGAGTGGTTAATTAAAACCCTAAAACGTTTAGACGAAAAAGACCGTTATCCTCTGGACAGGAGGCTGGGTTTGCACCAGAGCTGGACTGGATAATGTGGCAAAAAGAGAAATACTGTCCTGCTGGGAACTGAACCCCAGTCACTAGCCTATAATTTAATCACTATACTGACTGATCTATCCAAGCTTACTGAAAAATAGTACTAAGATACTCTGCTCTGATTTGGAATTACACTAGACTACCTGAATATTATGTCATGTTTTATAAGTACAGTAACTTTGTCAAGCCTGTACAGTCAGACTTTGAACACACCTGAATGTGTTTGGCACCTTTACCATCTCCTGCTGGTCTTCAGAGTACTCCACTTGTGCTGTTGCCAGGTTGATGAGTGCACGTTCTACAGGATCCTTCTCTTCACGGAAAATGAACACATAGGGTCGTCGCACTGCCTGTTTCATGATAAAACCATACTTAAAAAATGAATTTAACAAGTTCAGGTCTCTGGCCATGTAACATTAATTCGGTATATTATTTCATTAACTGAAATTTAGGATTCAAAGAAATGTTCACTGTATTATATATATTAATATGCACCCAGTTATTGCTGAGAACCAAATCTATGACCCTCGAATTAAGATATAGATATCACCAGATTCTCTGCCTCAAATCAATTTCAGATTTAATATATGCTGTTGCTTGGTTAGGAATAAGGACAGAGAAGTCATAGTTAGACTTAAGGACAATGCCCTACTGTTCATGCAATTAAAGAAGAAAGCAGTCTTGAACTGCAATTCTTACCACCCATCTCTTCTTCCAGCCATTTGTTTTCTGCTCCAGGATATTGAGATAACCCTTCCTGGCAACAACTGGGCTGATGCGGATCTCCTCCATCTCAGGCACATACAGGACCAACTGCTCCCGGCTGGGAGATGAGTTATTTGCAGGATGAGGGACCTGAGGTGTGCACTGCCCATCACCAGTGGACCCATTTGAGAATACATATTGTTCTGGTAATACTGTTCGAGTCTTCTCTGGTGAACACAATCTGAACAGCACAGAAAAGTAATGCAAACCACTTGTTAAACAATAAAAAGTATGAGTCTGAAAGAATGAATGTAGGTATAATGTGGAATGTAATGTATAATGAAGTTATAGTGAAATATTGTTAATTCTATGGCTCTGATAATAACCTAATTTTTATCACGGCCATTACCTATGTAACGAAAAGTAATGATACTAACACTGTAACAGACTGTTAACAAATTTGGACTCTATGAGAAAGATAATGAAATATAGTTTTCATTACAAATATTTCAATATTCACATGATGAAAAATTTCTTTCACCTTCCCCTCATCTCCTATCTACTGTCTGCTGAAGGCTAGCTGTTGTCCTCTAAAACCCATCTGCTAATTTGCTCAAAACCTCTTTGATGTACAAACAAATTGGACAATACACAAAAGCATTTCCTTTATTACCTCATACAATAATGATTTAAAGGTATGTATTTCATTTTGTTTTGTTATATGGTTAATAGGACCACCTTTAAACACAGCTAAGTCTTCATATATATATGTAGCTGTAGTTCAGACTGTCCAGACTCAATTAAAGTTTAATGTTGTCTACATTTCTTTTAGTATGAACAATCAATATTCTATTTCACACAAATGTGTCCAGACAAAGTAAAATTTATGCACACAGACAGCTTGGGAATAACAGAGACCATGAACGCTCGAAATCAAAGTGAAACCAAAGGGATTCAGTGGTGATTCATTAATGTAAGTTTACTGTATCAACACTTGCTGAGCACTAAACTACACAAGATTAATATAACCCTTTCAGTTAAAACATATTCAATGCTTCTTACTCTACTGATGAACTGGAAATAAGACTAGTGCTCATGTCTGTAGCCTCTTCACTTGGAGACACGTCGTTGTGTTTTGTGCTAGGCAAATCCTGGAATCAGAACAAGAGATTTCATTACCACATTTACTTGATAAATTGTTTTACATGTTTATTAAACATTCACATCATCATAATATACGAGGATACTGGGTTTTACTTCAGCAATCCAGACCAAGGTAATTACTGTGGTCTGGCCTTCAATTAAAAACTACAAAGGCTTTCTTTTTAAATCTTCATTAGACATCCACTGTAGACTGTGATCCCCTGCCTTAATTAATTTCATATACATGATACCTGTTCAGAAGTGTTATTAGCAACATATACTTCACACACTACACCTTACAACATTAATAATCAAGTGGAATTTATGACAATGAATCAATAAATTTATTTAAAGTAAGTTAGTTAATAATTTGTCACTGACAACTTTTGTGGAAGTTCTGCATCATCTACAGGTTGTTCATGTCAGGCTAGGCTTTTTAAGTTATGGAATTTAATATACAGACTTTAATAAAAACAAATGGTTAATTTATTGTATCTTTAACTATAGAGAATAAAGAATCAGGGAGCTAAGTATCACAAATTTAAGACATTTTATTATTCACTTTCCCTAATAACTGCAACAAAACTTTGTAAAGTATGTCAGATTCTTGCCACTTTATACCTTGCAAGTTGAAAACTTTGGGAAGTTCTACATCAACTATAGGATGTCACACCAATTTGAGAGGGCCTACCTTACTTGGTATCCTCCCCTGTATTAGTTTCACACACTTCAGTATAAGCTCACTCTCCTTCTCAGTCATTTCCCATGGCTCATACACATCTTTGCTGGGAGACTTCAGCACCACAGGGCTGGCTCGGCCCTCATTTGTTGCCTTGGCTACCATGTTACATACTTCCTGCAAGCAACAATATGCAATGTTTTCATGTTATTTGTTTATATTCACAACCAAGTAACCATAATCACATCTCCACTTTCTCTAATGTTATGATCACTAACATGAATCTTGTTTAATGCCATGTCATACCACACAGCAGAAAAAGATGGAGACCACAAAATTCTGCCTAACTCACAGCTTCAGAATGCTGTTTTGAACCTTACTCCACTGGGTCAGAGGTATGTATATATTCACAGAGCAAACTGATGTGTCTCAGCATTTAATATATTAATATTCATTCTGGAATAAGAATTATGCAATTATCACTGTGAACAACCTTTCACCAGGCCATCACACTAAGAGTTCTTTTGCAAACACCTCTTGATCCAAAAGGCAGAAATGCATTGTTTCACCCAAACTGGGATTGAAGAAGCTTATGATCTTAGTTGGAGACAACCTTGTCAGATGAGACATGACAAATGGTGGTTATGTTATTCATAACTACAATTTATAATTTACATTTTAAACATACACATAAAACTAATATATTTAAGAGTATAATTTACATTATAAACACACACACATACACACAAGTATTATTTTTAAAAATAATGAAAATCAAATTACTGAAAATAAAAGAGATTCATGAACAGAAGAATAAATTCAGAGTATCCTGTGTAAAATGGTAATCATACTGTATAAACTTCATGAATTAGTTAAAATACAATACACATAGTTGACATACAATACTGAACTGAACAGGAATGGGGAGGAAGCAACGACAGCCACACTACATCCTGTCATGGCACAAGGTTGCAGGGACTTATGAAGCCATAAAAGATGTAAGTACTAAGGTAAAAAATCTAACTGGGTACCTCCCATACACAAGCCAGATACATGGAAAACTGTATGGTGACATACAACACAGTAAATATGGGTCTTATGTTTTAATTTCTCACCTTTTCTGATTTGGTAAAGTCACAACTACGAGTGATCTGCATACTTTTATCAATTCCTAACCGCTCCCGCAAGAGTAACATGTGACGTACACGCTCCACTTCTTCCAGCCTCGTCAGTTTCTCCAGCTCCCATTGGTGGTCAAAGATGAGGCTGTCACCACGAGGCCTCCACCCATGTAGATTCTCTTCACCACGCACATATGTTGAACTTGTGTCTAGAACCCGACGCTGGCGACGCTGAACTCCTGTATTCAGGGAATAAAGTGCTCCATTAATGTTTTTCTTCTATTTACTGTTCCTATTATTTCCAGATTAAGTGAAGTACAGAGCATAGCTGCATCAACAGCCATTATTGAGTGTTAAAATATTCACTATACTGAAAAATTTTGAAAGAAAAGTTACAATCTTAATAACAAGTATACTTGATATCATGTGCCAATTTTCTGTATGACAAATCATTTAACAGAAAACTGGCACTCTGAAATTTGAGTTCTTATGGCAGTAAAGATGTCAACTGTGGACTTCTGGATTGTAAGGTGATTACCAATGTTTAGGTGGAATGCAGCCTTCATATTCAGGCATCCTCTGGTACCTTGGTAACCATCTACGAGAACACATGGTGTCACAACCAGATGACCAGACTACATAGCATGGATAAAAACTAATACATTTCAATCTGTATGTCTGTAAAATCATCCAGAAGTTTTTAGTACAGACGTCCCCATACCACATTTCATCAAAATTCAATAGATTCAGAATTTAAATATATGCACAGATGGATGAACTGACACAAACATATATGCATATGCAGTCAATATGAAAACAATAACACCTTAAGTTAAAAAAATTATCTAATCTACTGTAATTGAAATACAGAATTCTGTACCGACCAGACCATCACAAACACACTGACTACATAATAAAACTATACTAACATTACAATAACTGAGCCCTACCAAATTGTGAACATGAATATATATATATATATATATATTCATATTACTTAGTAAGGACTCAGTGTCTACAGATATAAAATGAACCTGATCAACACATCTACTTTACTGACTACTGTACAATACTTCAACAATCAAGCAGGGATCAGAACTAAGCTAATTACAGCCAGTGTACTTGAAAACTCCTATGCAATCATAACACTTCATTAGAGAAGGGCACCACTATCCTTCAAGTTCAAATAACTTTCATTGTATAAGATTTGAGGTTCTCACAGAGGGTGAAGATATTGTTGCTCTTCTTGGTTGTGATGCCAAGTGGACTCATTGATAGATACCAACACTTTGAAGAAACATACTGACTCCATTTTCATGGTATCACAATCAGAAAAATACTGATAACATTCGGTACAATGATTTTATCCATGCTCTTCCTTACAACTAGCCTCAGTATCACAATCTTCTAAAAAATGTCCTTTTAATATAATGCCAGACATTCTGGTGCATTTTTTTGTGAGTTATCTAAATTTAATCTCAGCTGGCAAACCAGCTATTCTAATTTCTAAAATTATGCCATGTTCCATCACCAAATCAAAATTAATTTATCACCTCAAAGCCTTTGTAAACAATTATTTTGTTGTTGCTGTTGTAATTATTACAGCCAAGTACAAAAATTTTAAAATCTCACCAATGAAATATATTTATTTTCTGTCATTCAGAAATCAGTGAATTTTGCTCTCCATATAAATTCTCTCATTTATACCAACATATGACTTTATACAATTTTTACTCTCCATTATTTTGCCATACTACAGTTAAAACAAAACAAAATAAATGTTTAAGTACTACCAGCATATTCAAATCAAATTATACTGACAACAGCCCGGACTATATACATCAAATAACAGGATGTATAATGGCAGCAGTCCTGGTCTAATCTAAGATACTATTCCATCATTTGCTAGAGGGATTAATGAAAAACCTTAATCAGGATGGCTAGTCTCTGTGTCAAGACTTTAACCTGGGATGTCTTAAGTACAAAGTTTGTTAATGTTTGTTTTGGATGACTGTTTGAACAGCTAAATAATAGCACAGTCAAGTTAATTTCAGACCCATTATTCAGGAAATCATTGTGAAAACCCCAATATAGCAACCTAAATATGCAGCATGGCAATTGCACTGGCTGGATGCCTATTCATTATTGGTTGGGTGACAGGGAACAAACCTGGGCTACCTGCTTCCGATGCTCTCTTCAGTACCAGCTCGTACACGCCAGATAACCGGTTTGCTTCTGCATTGCGATAGTTCCCAGAGAATAAATGTTTCAATGAGCGAGGACCTGTCCTGGCATCACGGCCATAAATTATCATGCTCAGATCTTTAGTGATGATGGCTGGGCGGCCACAGTTTTCAAGCTGTAACACAGAAAGCACTCCACTAGTATAAGATATAGAGAGGAGTGAGAGTGAAAACTTTAACTCTAAAAGTCTTGGTTGGTGTTTATGTAAATTCACCAAATTATCACAATTTTACATCAAAACAATATTGATTTTTTAGTAAATATACACTATACCAAATTACACACCTATCTACAAAAACTCATCACTCAATGTCTTCAAATTGGAAAACAAATGTTATCATCTTGTTTTCAATTCTCATTTTCTACAAAAATAATTAATTAATTCCATGGAGCAGAGTTTTTCTTCCTTGCCCTTTTCTATAAAAACAACAGAAACAAGAGTATCACATATTTCAGAGTTTTACCAATATTTATTGTAATTGGAACTATTATCCAAAGTAGAAAATTTGTATCTGAAATGGATGACTAACATGACTAGCGGGGTATTGGAGATTAGCACAGAATTAAAGGCTTCACTGTTTGTACTCTTCTATCATTTAGCTGGAGTAATTAAATTAAGTACATCAGCTGGCAAGGAACATGCTTTGGGGTAAACATAAATATTGCTTAGTAAACCTTGTAGAACAGGTTTCTTGAAGATATAGGTGCTGACACATAATACTCATACAGAACTCTGGAAAATAGGTCATAAATAAAAGGGAATTAAGGTTGAATAGGATCCATTATCAGACGTTGTAATGACGATGACGAACTTTTGGGTAAGATAACGTGGGAATATTCCAAACAATGACACAGGGATTCAGTACCATGGAAATAAACACACACCTCCAGATATGCTGAGATTGTCATGAAAATCTGCTCCCCATATGATGTAACCCTGTTTAACAGCACTGAGTTATGTAAGGAACTGTCCCAGGCAGCTTCAAAGCGAAACATACAGCGATCATCTCCAGGAACCTCAACATATTCACCAGGAAAGAGTCCCAAGGACAACACAGAACTGTCGTTGTCTTCCTCCTCAGGTTCTGGGGTGTTTCTGATACGACCTGAACACAAATAAAATTCAGCAGAAGTCCACATTCAGAACAGAACGGGAAAACTGCAATAATACACCATGACAGAAATATTCATATGATTTTACACTGCATATCAGATACTTTGCTCAAGAGAAAATACTATATCACTTTTAACATCTCTCCAAAACAATGTTTTCAATGTGAGTTGCACATCAAAATTAAAACTACCAACAAATGGAATAATTGTGTAAAACAGCAACAAATATAAAAGATATCTAAATCACCAGTCCCTATTATATGGGGGAAGGAGAGGGTACTTTCACAACTTATATTACACTACACTACATGTATTATTAAACAAGATTAAAGAAATGCAATCTTATACTATCTATGCAGACAATGTTAATTTTAGGAGTAGGTTCATGTTTCAGATAAGTGAGATAGAATTCTACAAATAAAGATTGCATACAGTTCATTCATTTAGCTTATAAAACAATGATTCATTTGTTTTATCAAAACTAGATTGCAAAACAACTTGGAAATTCCAATAAGAGTAAAATATATTTGAATGCAGCAGTTATTTTCTTCTATTCTATTGTTTTGTGGACTAACATGATAGAGTCTATCATATAAATTTACATACAGAATGAAACATTTCATAAAATTTCTCAAAAATAACTTGCCAAATAAAGAAATATAAAAAACATATCTCACTAATTCTGTACCATATCTAAAATACTAATAAAGGATACGAAAGTATTATTTCAGGCTTCTATTTTAATAATGATTCTCAATATAAATTTTAATTAAACTCCCATTCATTGTAAATGATAATATGGATCATGTAACTGTTGATAAATACATTTTGAACAATAAACGCATTAAATGAGAAAATCACTAATTCCTTATGCAAATCACAGGCAAACTGTTCAACAATAATAAAAAAAAATCCTAAAACCATGGGACATATGTAAACTCACCAACAACCAATTCTCGGATATCCTTCCACCTCAACTCTGTAGCATGCTCATGTACAATCGTAATGCGAATACGACGTTGGATCCCCTGATGTAAGAGGAACAGGCCACGGCAGGGCAGATCATCACTGTGATCCACTACAGCTGGCACGTACTCTCCATTTGGAGCTGCAGGAAAACAGTTCTATACATCCTATTTGGATTACAGGTAGGCCAAAAAGAATTTTCAGATAACAGAATATAATGCCTAATGACTATCAAATCAGGAATTCTTATTTGGACCTGAAATGTTCAATGTTATGCTCACCTAATTCACAGATCTCAAACCAGACAAATCAGGAATTCTTATTTGGACGTGAAATGTTCAATGTTATTCTCACCTAATTCACAGATCTCAAACCAGACCAAAACGTCATACTTGGCATGAACATGGCTGGTGCTGGGTGATGGCAGAACCCCGAACTTGGGTGACCGCACTGGCTGACTGATAGGGATAGATGGGGGAAGCATCCGTTTGGGAGGCTGGCGCACGCTACAATTGTAAAATGAAGTGATGGAACAGTCACCATGCTAATAAGAAGTATTATTACCTTAGGAAATAATAAGCTTGCAAGGTTATTTCTGACTAAACTGTTGTGACTGAGCAGATCTCATATACAAAACTTAGTCAAAATCAATTCAGTCAAAGCTAAACAGTTTCATATAAGCACAGGGGAATGCAAATGCCTAGAAGCAATCATGCTGTTGTCTTCTGTATCCTGAAATGTCACCACTTTCTGTGGGTTGTCTGCTGATATTATTCTTACTACAAAAGTAATATTTTCAACTGATACTTGAGACAAATTAGTACTCACTACTGTCCACCCTCCTGCTTGGCATCTTTGTGTAGTGGATGCTGCTGATAGTGGCCAAACACTTCAAACACAATTGGCTGAGACTTCAAGTATTCCAGGAAGGATTTAGTTACTGTCACAGTTATCTGTAATCAGTACATGTGAATACTTAAAAAGTGTTGACAGTTTCAGTTTCACTCTAACAAAGAAGACAGTTTCTTGTCTCTATGACTTCAGTAACAGCCAGTGGGAGCATACAAAACTGTTTTCTGTGCCATGTTAAATTTCAAAACTTGTGCTCCAATTATTTATAGATGGCTGATGGTGATGCTGAAAACTGATAAGTTTGGCACAGTGATAAAAACTGTCTCATTAAGTTTAAGAGGAAGGTATAAAACTTAAAATTTAAAGGAAACAAAGAAGTGGCTTAATATTCATCAGCATCATGACAGATAGCACAGAGGGTCCAACAGCTCATTATCCACTTTCATCATTTTGTGGACCTGTTCTAATTTCCTACAATTTATTACTACTTCAAGAAGATTATTGATATAATACAGAATTAGTTTCAAACAGAATAAAAGCAGAGACAAGAAAGCAAAATGAGAATAATCCACACTCACATTTTGGACATGATAGAAACCCAATGGTGGCCCTTTTCCTGTGTTCTTAACTGGTTCAGTAGAAAAGGCTTCATCATGCCGGTGCAGGAAGCTGTTATGCACATACAACAGTAACAGGTTATTTCCTTTAATAATATACATAAAATAATGCAATTCCATTAATAAATTTATGACTATTGTTAACCTTATATCTCACAATTCTCTACATTTCCTTTCAAAATATAAGATTTTATAACTCTGCAACTATATAAGAAGGTTATGTATCTTTTAATTTTATATAAACTGTACCAGTGTTAATGCCATCTGTAATAAAATTATTCCCATTCCATCTGAAATCTAATAAAACAAGTTAAGAAGTCTATCATAATGCAGAGAGCAAGTTAGTCTTCTCTTACCACATTTTCAAACAACATAAAACAGTACAATATATTCTGAACGTTGCAGCTAGTATTTTAAAATACATACCAAGTAATATGTTGTTATGAAATTGGGCACGCGACAGACGTAACATATATCTACGCTTACTTGAATTGGCAGAAGATATCGGCATACTCTGTTGATATGCCAACAGCTTGCAGAACTGTGACTCTGAATGTGAACTCATTGCCAACCTGCAGGTGTTCTGGTAAATCTTCCTCCTTCGCATCAGACGACACAGAACTGTCACCTCGACCACTATCTGTATCACCATCAATCTCTGTCAAACAGATATCTATTAGGGAAGACAAATTACCATTTGGAGGTCTTCTCCTAGAGCCTTTGTGGTTAAAGTGCCAGTACAGTCAACAGGAAATTTTTACTTTAAAGGCTATTATTCACCATATTATGAAGACACACTGGTCAAATGGTAGTGAACTCTGCAATTAAATGTTTCAGATTTGAGACAAGTCAAATCAAGTGTGGATTTTGCCACATACCTTCCCTTCCCAAACATCCTATGAAAGATAATGAAAAGTTCTCTGATCTTATTTTCAGGCATCAGTCAAAAGGCAGCCATTTTTATCCAAAAGAATTATTGAAATCAGAATATGCTACACAGCACTGATGGAATGATGATAAAATAATGATAGTGGTGATAACATTAAATGATTATTATGATACATGAAATGGAAAAAGTGACTGAAATGATCAAAACTTACTTTAAAGGTGGCGACTGACTTGTAACATTTGCCTGTAATGTAACGTGTTACAAATCGAGCATTACACAAGTGAAGACAGCGAACGGAGCCGCTCGATGCGAGCTGCTCACGCTCGCGGGCGCTCCATCGTGTTGTCGGTTTTTTCGCGAATCCCTTTGAGTGTTACATTACAAGTCAGTCAGTCAGTCGAGCGGCGTCGTAACGAGCATTCACGAGTTCTTTAGATAAGAGTAGCGTATTAAATGAAACAAAGATAACACAACCTCCACGTCCGACATATTGAATGAAATGAATGGAGCACACATGAGCACAGTCGAGCCGAGCGTTCAAAACGAGCATTCGATACGCCTCACCAGTTGTGGTGTAATGTAACATGCTCGCCGCGAATGTTACATTACGAGTAAATGTTACAAGTGAGTCGCCACCTTAAGACGTACCTCATATAGAACACAGTATATAAAACTCTGTATTACTGTAACAGAACAAAACTCAACAATTTTGCTAACCTTCAGCTTTGCAAGAATCCTTGCCATTGTCTTCAGCCTCCACTTTGTCTGGAATAACCTGTGAATCCTTGCAGGAATCCTGGATGTTGCCTTGTCCCTCTACCACCCTTTCATCTATGTGCTGCTGATTTCTTTCTGTCTGAGCCGAGAGTATGTTGCGTTTAGAGGGGCGTTGCTGACCGATGAAAAGTTCGTCATCAAATGATATGCGAGCTGACTGCCTTACACCACTCAAGTATTCACTGTTCTCCTCTTCTGGAACATTATGGTGCAACTCAGTGTTCGAATTGTGCACTGCATCTCATAATGAAGACTTGAACTAGAAACAACCCCAATTACTAGTCAATAATAAAAGCAGTAAGATATAAATGTAATCTCACAAAAACACATGAACTATACACTGCAAACTATGCTATTACTGGTGGACACATACAAGAATACATAAAGAATATTAAACAGTGTGTGAGGATGTAGAGTGGATTCATCGAGCTCAAGATGGAGCTCAGTGGCAGGCACATGTGAACATGTTAATTGACTTTCAGATTCCATTAAAGGCAGTAAGTTCCTGATTAACTAAGTGACTGGGGTTAGTTATGTATTAAGACAAAAATGTTTTTAAAATACTTTTTTTTTATTACACCAGCTGAGAAAGTTGAAAAATTTGTGCTTGGTATTCGCACTAATTCCATGTTATGAGTCATAGACAATTGTAAAACATCTTCAATTTTTAAATGGGGTGCAACAAATCAAAGTTTTGAAATTTGTTTCATATTGAGCAAACCATGCATGTCAGATGATTTTGAAAGTGTAAAATTTCACGAAATGTTATGTGAAAGCATATGCCTCCCTGTTTATCAAAGCTGATCACAGGTCTCAGCTGGACATAGTTGTGTTACTTACCAATGACAGCCTGAACAGCAACTTTGAGAAATCCTTTCACATCCCCCTTCTCATTAACAATAGCAACCTTATGGATCAATGGGACTGGATACATTAAATTGCTGAGATACACAAATGCTCTGGAAAAGAATGCACAGTAAAAATCATGCTGTGTTACAAAAGACTGGTTCCAAGTGGGGTTATGTTCCTCCGAAATGCAGGTATCTACCTAAAAATTCACAAAGCATTACAACCCAAAAGACCAACACTAACATCTTCATCACCACAAGGGCCTCAAATTTCATGTTGAGCAATTAAAACATAATTTCTGTCTAGCTTGTGCATAACCTGTGTGAGCGAATAAGTACTGGTCCCTGAATGAGATGTTCGCTAAAAATTCTTCTGTAGTCTTGATGGTAATTTACTGCAAATACAAATTTATTCTTTCAGTTCTTTGATTTTACTTGTGTCAAACTATTCTGGCTGATTAAACGCTAAAAATTAGTAATACAGAACAAAATATTTCATTTTTGACAAATCTAATTAGAAAAGGAGAAAAGCACTAACGTATGCTGAAGATTGCTGTCTTCTGGGTTATTGCGCCATGTAGTCTGGTAGATTTCCAGATCTATCAAACTACATGACACAATAACACAGAAGACAGAAATCTTCAGACTCACTGCTGTGAAAACCTCAAATCCTACACTAATGTATGTTGTTAGTAATTTGTGGGATATATACACCCTATTAAAAAGAGTTTCAAATAAGAATTAAAGACCTTCATAATATCTACATTTTCACATATGATAATCCATTTTTAAGGAAACTGATGAAGGTTGATAGAGCTTCATGTAAAGTATGGGTTATATTGAAACAACATAAATCAAAATTAAATTCACTTGACAAGTGGTGTGATGATGGTAAACATACAGATAACAAAAATATTGTGGAGAAAAACATGATATAGAGATAACAGAAACATAAAAAAGAAATATAAGTGTATAGGTTATAAGACTAAAAAGAGAGCAGATGGCTGTGAAATTACAACCTGATGTTCCTGATAACAATTATTACTGTACTGCTCAGCATGCACATGTATCAGCAGTGTTACCTGCCAACCATCCTAAACCATGGGAAGCGGTCATAGAAAGGGTCCCCTCCTGTCAGAGACTCAATGTTGTAATCTGGTGACGTTGGAGATAATTCAGCTTCATTGTGGTACATCTCCCTCATCAACTCCAGTCGCTGTCTGCAAGTACAAACATGACACTGTCACTATCAAACATGCATCAACTAAATAACAGATAAGAGAAGAGGACATGCTTTCTCTTCTCTCTCAATAAACTTACCATTTTACATAAACCAGAGTGTTGTATGTTCACAAGGATTTAATTATCTTGCCAGTAACTGAGTAAAATAATTTTGCATTATGTTGTAAACGCTTGTACCAGCACTCACACCAGTACTTAAATCCAGATTCATCACCCACTTAATGCTCCTCGACTGATACAAATTCACTAATATTTTTTAAATATATGTATCATACAAATTCATAATCAAGATGGTATAACAGTGTATCCATTGGGGAATAATACTTAGCACAAAGACAGATGACAATTAATTGGCTATTGTTCTTGTTATCAATTACCCAATTTTCATACACACTTCAAATATAAAATATCATGCATTTCAAACTCAGTTACATGCATTAAACATTAAGTATCAAACAAAATAAGTATTAACAAAGGTAAATATAAAGTTGACCTGTTCCCAAGCTCCATGCCATGAAAGTATGGGGCATGGAAATAAAGCTCTATGCATTCTAGAACTCAGCAATGCATAGATGTAAGCGGTTAGATTCAAACTAAAGGAAATATACTACCATCCATTGCACCATTCAAGTCTAGCGATTTTTTGTAATGTGTCATGGAATTATGAATAACCCTGTATAATAATTCTGGGAACAAGTAATTTCAGTAAATTTTATTCCCCTGGACATGGTAAAAAATTAAAATAAACCCATTTCATGACACAAATAATGAAGATCTGAACTTGAAACAATCCCCATTATTATTTTATGTGTGGTTTACTTAATGGCACTATCAGTAGCTTAGACCAGTGGTATTCAACTTTTTTGTTTGCGTACCCCCAAAGTTGTTGGTGTATAATTCAAGTTATACATAGCATATAATCTACATATAAAATAAATTAAATAAATTACATTACTGATTATTCAGTGTTTATCATAAAATAATATACGTATTTTCTTAAATTTCACGTATCCCCTAAGATGTCTTCGCGTACCCCCGGGGGGTACGCATACCCCAGGTTGAATACCACTGGCTTAGACTATTGGTTGAACTCCCATTACCAAAACCACCAAATGGAGAGGTGTAAGATAAAAATGCAATTTCACAAAAACACAGACACTAAACACCAATCATGCAAAGTATGTACAGAGGAATGTTTATTTTTGATAAAACCCATGCTGTTATTGAACTAAACCTTCTGCCAGTTATAAAATAGTAATATGCAGTAGCAACCCCATCAACGACTTCAATGCAGAAAAAAGGGAAATATGAATGAAAACAAGAAATCATATTATTTTGATTCAAAAAACTGAGACTGTGTAAAACAAAATCTTTCTAAATAGGTGCAATATTGTCACAAACACCAAACGGATGAAATATTCTTAAATCAAGAATTAACCATGTACTGTATATACTACAGCTAACAGCTTCTTCATCATGGAGGTCCTAGAAAGAACTAGAGAACAAGGTTTGTGAAGAAACAACTTGCTACATATCATATAATATTCAGAGTAGCCTTGCATTACATATGACTTTCTGCAGCTGTGAATTCCAATGTTGTATCAATAGTTAGATACTCAAAACATCCATTCTTAAACCAAGTGCACATTTTCTCAGAACCTAACAGGTGAATGTCTCCATACATGGTTAAAATTTATGACTGAGTCATCAACTCTTAAATTATTTAATAATACTTCTCCAACTGCACATATTGAAAAAATTCATTGTCAAGGGATGATGTTAGTGAATAGTGTGTACATAATGAATTGGAAGGATGCAGTAATGACAGATTTGAAGGTACTATCCTGGCATTATTAAAACAAAAATACTGACGAAAATCACAAATACTTCAGCAAGATAGCCAGTACCCTTTGTTTATGATCTGGGACAACTACACTTCTATCATTTATTTTTATAAAAAGAATTGAACAATTTGTGGAGCTGTTTGGGATAGCAAATTAGTATACTTTTGTAATAAATTGCCACAATGTTGCAATACAATTTCATCAATTATAACCCAATGGCATGTGAATCAATATGACTGGGTAAGCATAACCCAAGATGTTAAAAGGATGAGAACCCCTGGAATAAACTATGTACAGAAATCCAATAAAAAAGAAACAAAATTTGGCTTCTTGAATTCTGCTCATGCATGTTTTCTGTATGTGATTTCTTCAAACTGTCGTTTTTAATTTTAAGAAATTCAATGACATATTGGGGACATTCAGACATATTTCACGACAAGTACTGACTGTATCAAAGCACAGAAAGAACATGACTGGTCCCTGGGAGTAAGCAAAGCTAAGGAGAAAGAAGAAACTGTTGACAAGAGAGAAGCAGAGGAGAGTGTCGTGTGGGTGTTCAGCCAGTATGCCATGCCATGAAGTCACATCACATTACTGAAATCAGCTCACAGATATACGCACATTTTGCTAGTAAGCACCAACCTCGAAGGCAAAAGATTTGCAAGCGAGAACTTCTGATTAGCACAGACAGAAAGACATTGGAAAAAGTCATCCTTCGCCTCCGGTGTCTCGGGGCTAAGATCTTCGTTGTAAATATGACGCATGAGTTCCAAGCGATGTCTACAATACAGGAAATTATTGTGTTAATTATTTTACAGATGTCTCCAACACAACCACAAGCAAGTCACCTGTATCGTGGACAAAGTTTGTTTTTTTAATAAAGCACACTAGGAATGGAAAATGCTTTTCTTTTGCCTTGGAGGTTGAGAGGGATGTCTGGAAAGGAAAATAATTTTTTCTACAAAAACTGGAATGGACACACATATGTCTGTGAAATACAATGACCATGTTTTTGTATACACATCATACAAATTGGATGAAAAGTAGCGGAAAGAGGCCACAACAAACAATTAAAATATACTGATGCTTCTAAGTACACAATCTGAACATATTTCCTTTTTTTGTTTAAAAGTATTATTAATCTGAAATGTTATCTTTGGAGACACAACAGAGTGATGGAACTTGAACACATGTACAAAACTCTGAATTTTGAACAGAATTCTGGTCATCAAAATCACCCTTGTGGTCTGGTGGTTATCATACTAGACTAATATTCTAAAGGTACTGGATTCGATCCCAAGCACTGTTACTAACAATAAATAATGTTATACAAAATATGTCAGTATAATGACAACTAATCACTTGAAGATAAGAGTGGAGGAACCCTTAAAATGTCATGTATATCAAATATACCTCAAACAGTATAGTATTCATAATATTAATCAATCATTGTCACAAAAATTTAGAGAATCATCAGGATAGTACAAACACAAAGAGACTACTCCCATAAAGGGGTTCCTGGAAGACAGCATAAAAGATGGCAAAACTCACACTTCAATTTCCATATGATATATTTTTTTGTGTGGTATTACATATTCCATTTATATAGAATGGAAATTAATGAGTCCTGTGGTTAGGCATTATAATTATGATATATTCTAAATGCTTCTACAGGTTTTGAATAGAAAAAAAATGTTTTAATAATATCGAGATCAAGATAATACCTACACAATCTATTTAAGTAAATTTCATAAACCTAAAAATTATCACTGTAGAAGGTTTGGGTTGGTCTTCTTTACTTGTATGATGCTAATGTGGCATCATGAGGGAATTAAGTGGATTAACGAAGACTTTCAGAAAAGCCATATATCTCACATTTAATCCTCATGTGGTACTCACGTTAATTTTTTAATATGGTATAACCAGAATTCTTACATTGCATGCCACTGTTTCATCCAATTTTCTTTTATACATTCTATTTATCAGACATAAACCTCAAATGATGAATGGATTATTGAAAACAGACATCAACTGCCACTGTAATGAAAAAATCATGAAGGTCAAAGAGTAAGGGAAAGCATTCAAACTTTGTCTACAATGTACTTGACAGCTACACACAGGATAATTGTATATAACCATTTGTACCTAACAAGTAGTATAACAGTTTAACATGTTTTGATGACCACAAGTACGCAGTTGTACAATTCTATCTAACCATATTGGTTAAGAATGTAAACATATTATGAGAAACACGGATTAAATTTCTATGGAGTATTAAGAAGTGAACAAGATGGCATAAAGTCTGAAACCAGGACAGTGTGCAAGTTATAAAAACAGGAAGACAAACAAAGGAAAAGCTGGTCAAATAAGGATACAGTATTATAAACATGTTACATATGGGCAAAAATAGGATTGCTTTGAGATTCTAAAAACAAATATGTTAAATAAATTATCATAGGGATACCACCTGTTGGAAAATATACCGAGTTAATGAGTAGAAATAGGTAGAAAAGGAACACTTATCGGAGGGGAGAGAAAAGAGAAGGATTTGTTTCAAGATGAATCACCCTGGTAGAAACATCAATGAATGATGAGTTACATTTTACTATATGGGCTTTAACACACATATCTAATTCATTATCAGACAGCAGAAGAAACAAACTAGAAAATGTATCCACAGCATAAGAACTCTGGCATGTTCACCAGCATTTGACCTCTGGCTGATGAATTCCCCACCTGGGAATCCTTTCCAAAATTTCAACTGCAAGCATGAGTGGTCTCCAGATACATGTTTTACTGTTCTGAATATGTCTTGCAGAAATTTAATTTCACCTGAGTTTCTCAAGGGTCCAGTAATGGGTGGCCCCATTCTTAGTGTCTTGCACCTCCACTGCCACAATGGTACGAGGAAATGGTCTATCCTCATCGTCCTCCTCATCCAGTGCAGGCAGCAAATCAGCTGGTAAAGGTGAATACAATGTGTCTGTGAGAAGGGTGAACTGGAACTGCACCTGCAACAGGAAACTGGCTTCAAGTGCTGCCAATAAACAGATTCTTACACAAGACTAAAGCGATGTGCAGCATATATATCATCCTATGCAATCCTCTACAAAGACAACTTAAATTTACAAAATCCGTTCAGCTACTTTACAGCAGTAAACATCACAATGTGTATTCTTTAAACTAACATAATATGTAATCTACCTGACAGGTTTTGTACAAACTTTCAGTTCATGTCATGTCTTGAAAGATATCTAGTGGTAACCGAGGGAATGATATTTTGTGAAACACTCTCATTTCAATTATAGCTGCTAAAAGTAAAGTAACTTTCTCACCTTTAAATTTAATTTTACATTGTTACTGTTTACCTTACCAATGTAACTGTTTCCTTGTCATGGTGCCTTACATGCCACCTCTCTACAGAGCAATGAGATACTAACAACTGGCAAGGGAATAAAGAACGCTTTAAAATTTAGCATGGCATAAAAATAAATTTCCTGTGCCCTTGACAGCTAGTTCAAGAGCTATAGAAGCAGAAAACTATTTAATCATTGCAAATTTTATAAAATAAATCTTGCAGTCACAGGGCCTGCTTGTCTGCTCATAGCAGCATGACTGGCACCATAGAACATACCTTCTTTTTCAGCTCAACAGAGATTGCATTAGCCTCCTTGAGGAATATGGCATTTCCCCAGAGATCATCCCGCAAGGAAGTGAACTGATGGTACTTCCACTTCCTAAATCCCCAAGCAGCCAGCTGGTACTCACGATCACTCCAGTTGCACTCTGCGTCAAACAAGGGGTTGACTGAAATGCCATCAGGCAATCACAGTCAGACAAAAACACAGAGCATGACCCAAAGAGAAGAGATTAAAGTGTAAATATAAAACAGAAGTACTTCAATGAAATGTTAGTGTTAAGAAGGACATAACACGCAGATGTAGCAGGTGCTTGGCTGCAAGATTTGTCTGCTTCCATGATTCTGATGCTGCTGATACACACTTGACTTTAAACTGCCTCCTCTTTTAGGTTTTAAGCACTAATGCTGATTTCTATGAGTCTTGTAAACCAATTATTAATCAAAGATGTGACAACACTATTCCATCTAAACGATTTAAAACAAAGTCTAATCACATTTCTGACCAAATACAAAATATTTACCTTTGTGGCAGCAATTTCATTGCAAACTTTGAAATGTTCCAAAAGAATTAAAAATTTATTTACATATTGCTATGCTCTAAACAAAATAAAACTTTTTTCTTTCCTTGTCATCATCTTTGTATCACGCTGTCACCTATTTATTTTCCTCACCAACTACTATAGACTGGGGTACCAGAAGTTGTCTGGATGCGGTAATGAAGAGAAAAATCCCCGTCTCTTCCTGCAATTGAACCCTGATAATCCATTCCACAACCAATCACTTCACTGGTTGAGCTACCTTGGCTCATTCTGGGTATGGTGATGAAGATAGTAATGCTCAACATCCCTACCAAAAAGTCTGAAGCCTGACTCAATATACAGCCAATCATAATGACCTGGCTGTCATCCTAGCTAATGTGTATTTGGCAAGAAAATGTAATTCAAACCATGAAACAACAAAATATTAATGGACCAGAAGATACAGTACGTTTCTATGGTTGATAACAATGAGAGCAAAATTCAGATATGGAAAAATAAAGTGACAAGTGAATATTATTGGAAAGAAAATATACAGATGGTATCTGAAATTATTTTACAGAATACTG